ATGACTGCCATGACAAATCTTGCAGCCACATATCAAGACATAGGAAAATACACAGAGGCAGAGAAGCTGCAGATCCAAGTTCTGGATGCAAGCAACAGAATTCTTGGAGTGGAACACCCAGATACAATCACTGCCATGGCAAATCTTGCAGCCACATATCGAGACATAGGAAAATATACAGAGGCAGAGAAGCTGCAGATCCAAGTTCTGGATGCAAGTACCAGAATCCTTGGAGTGAAACACCCAGACACAATCAGTGCCATGGCACATCTTGCAGCAACTTATCGATACCTCGAAAAACACACAGAGGCAGAGAAGCTGCAGATCCAAGTTCTGGATGCAAGTACCAGAATTCTTGGAGTGGAACACACAGATACAATCAGTGACATGGCAAATCTAGCATCCACATATCAACACCTGGGAAAATACACAGAGGCAGAGAAGCTGCAGATCCAAGCTCAGAAAATAAAGAATAAAGTTCCTGGAGCAGAATCTCCCCTTATGAATTCTAGGAAAAAAGGTATGAAATGAGCTTCATTTTTTCTTTTTCACTGACACTCATATTTATATGATTAGTACATTCTCTGACCAATCTTGCCAAGAGGATTTCAAAATTCAAGTCTGGGATGATGCATTCATTTCATAGTAAGAAACATCTCAATGATGGCTTTGCAGGAACTAGTACTTAATTCTTCTTCCCCAATGCTTCCATCCTTTTCACCTATATTCATTTTCACTGAAATTCTGGCTTCTACTCATATCTTGATATTCTGTTTAGTATGTTGAATAAATTTCTCTTTGTCTGACTGTTTTAATTAATGATTGACTGTGTATGAATTTATCAAAAGCATCTCATGATTCACCATCCCATACTTTATGTCTGTGCTTGCATTCAAGCCCCTCTTCAACTCTCCTGTTGAGCTGCCTGTTATCCTCCAATGCATCCACTAAGCTACCAATGTGCATCAAGGCCTCTTCAAGTTACATACCTTAGTTTTGTTGAACTGCAGATACAAACCTACATAACTTCTGTCTGCAACAGCAGTGCCAATAGCAGATACAGTTATGTTGAAGTGTGAAATCAAAGTACCTTCATGAGATGTGGGAAAGCTGAATTTTAAATTTTGGCAAGAACTTCAGCCACCTCAGGCATGTTAAAAAAACTTGATCCAGTATGTATATATTTTTTTTCTTAAAAACCCCTTACTTTTCCTTTACTTGCTATCAATGCAATTATGTCAGAAACATCCTCCAATTTAGTGGTTAAAGCCTGTGTGTTGTGGAATTCACCATCATCATGCTTGTGCCAATCTTGAGTTCAAGGCCAATAACTGTCATGAATCATTCCACACCCATGCCCTCAAGACATCCCCAAGACAGACCCCTCACTATGATACCTTGTTTCTCCATCCCTACTTTCTATTATCTCATTATCTTGTTATTCCTTGTTCCCTACCAGGGACCTATTAACTGACAAGTCTTTAGCTTCAGTCTTCTCAGTTGAAAATTTGACTTCCTACCATGCTCAGCTTCTTCCATAACAGTGTCTTTGTCATGTGTGATGCTCCCACTGCTGCTCTTGCTGGAAGACTTGCTGACAGAAGAACTAAATGCAGAATGAATGGTGTATAAGGCAGAATTGGCATGATCTATCTTTTCATGAGTAATTAAAAATATTGAGAAAAATGACTGCATACCCTCAGGTCCTCCAATAAGATGGCAGTTTGGGATTTTGAGGTTTGAAATATTCTGAGAGAGTGCATCCCAATTCCAACCTGAGTAAATGTCCAAATGGGCTGATTGGGTGTGCACCATGTGAATCCACTGCACAGCTTGTCATCCCATGTTCTGAAAATCGGTGAACCACACTTGAATGTTCTCTCCCAGCATGTGCCCATAGAGTGGGTTCATACAATCAGGGTCTAACACCAATAAAACTGCCAGGTGCTGCATGGCAATGCAATTGAATTGAAATTGAGGAATGTAAGTGCATAGTGCGATGGGCAAAGAAGGGTTGATAGAGATGGAATGTGCTGCTGTGCATGTTATGACTTGCACTACACAGTGTAGTGCCCACCATATTGAGGTGCCAGTGGCAGGGTCAAGCATGTAAAAAAGCTGGCTCTTAGGAAGTGAAAGAGTGATGAAATTATTGGCAATGAGTGACCAAAATCCTTATGAACTGATATGGTTGCTTATTAAAGTCTTCTGTCAGGGAGCAAGCTAACATTCCATATGCCATCAGACAGAATTTCTGTCTATCTTCTGAGGACATTCTGTCTCTTCCCCATGCATGAATAAGTGGATGCATGGTATAAACACTTTGGATGAAACCAGTTTGACTAGGCTAAAAGACAGTAATACTCCAACTCCCTCTTTGAAGATGAGATTATCCCATTTTCCTGTGTTGTGAAGCAGAAGCAGTGTGGAGTCTATTATAGAGCTTGCAAGAGGCAAGGCAGACCTCTTCCAATTATCTCCGCACTCCTGAGTAGCAGCATAGGAAAAAATTTCCTCAGTAATACCATCAAAATGAAAGAAGGCAAAGATTGCCAGCAGAAACATTGCACTCTTAGCTGCCTCAGCTCTTTGAGAATCATCGCTTTTAGCTCTATGCTGAATCTCTTTGAATGATAGCTCCAAAGTCCCATACACGTTCTGTTATATGTAGATGCCCCTCTGAAAGCTGGGTAAGATAATAATCTTTCTCTGTATTGAGAGTATTCATCAAGATAGTTTCTGATGTCTGTGCTCCCAAAAGCAATGAAAGCACCAGCCTGATCAATAGCTAAGGGAATGCAAAAGAGCTCATTCACAATCTTGGAAGCCTCAGCTTGTAGATCTTCCTGAGACTCATTCAACCAAGCAGCATTTAAGAGTAAAGAGATGGCATCACTTTCTTCCATCTCTTTCACCTCAAGAGAACTCTCATGTAAAGTCAAATGTTTTAAGCCAGAGTTGCGACTAGTTATCAGAATATTCCCTCCTAGTCCAGGTGGAAAATATTGCTCCAGTTCCTCAGGTGTCAGATTATCAGCATTATCAAAGACCATTGCATAGTTTTCTCTCAGAGAGCTAATCCACTGTAAAGCAGATTGAGGTGAACCATCCAGAGCAGAAGACTGAGCCTTAGGAAGGTTGCAGATTCCCTTCAGTCCCTGTGTGATTGTACCAATTGAAGATGCATCAATCCAGAAAACATGGGAAAAGCTGGGAACCCATGAAATGGGGACTAAGTAGTATGGTGGAGTACTTACTAGTCAGACATATCCTCAATGAACCTCAAACAAATCTGAGTCTTCCCAATACCCCCCATGCCATACAACAAAAAGAATTTTTGACGGCAGAGTTTATTGTTGCTTTCGGCAGTAAAATGTTTCTTCAGTTTTGCAAGAACGTTGGTCTGTCCTGTGAAATGAATACTTGAGTTTGGTTTTACGGGAATCGTTGCATATATTGTTCTGTTGCCAGTGCTAGCGTAGTAATTGATCTGTGCAAAATACCAAGTGATTAGCTTGCAATAGTAAGAGGCATCAGAGAACTTCACTTACAGCATTGGCGACGTTTATGTTGCTGTCAGTTATAACAACGTTCTGAGCTCCCTGGAGGACATTTGGTTGGCTCATGTTGGAAGTATAGCAGATGGGGGCGAATAGTGTTCGCAGGTCCAGTCTACAGGACTGAAAATATACATAGGACTGAACTGGACTGAACCACAGTCCGGTCTTTTCCAGTTGCCAGTTGCCCACATTTGTGATCTGTCCAGTTGCCAGTTGCCATGTTTTTGTAAATATATAAAAACCGAAAAAGACCGGTTTAGACCGGTTGCAACCGGTCTTTCGTCTCATCACATATTGTACCTTACTCGTGCACATTTTACTTAATTTTCGGTCCCTGAATCATCAAAAACGGTTAAGAATTGGTTGAGATATGGCCAAAAACATTTTTATACGCAATTTGAATGTATGTTCTCTCCGTTTTCACCATATCTCAGTCAAATCTTGACCGATTCGCTTCAGATCTTGGCCAGCGTACGGAGAATTAAATTATCTATCTACGCATGCTATGTACGTGAGGTAACATTTAATATATCTGGCACAATAAATTTTTCAACAAAAGACCGGTCGCAACCGGTCTGGACCGGTTTTTTTTGCGTTGTGGACCGAAAAAGACCGGTCCAAAGCGGGGGGATTGCGGTCCCTCAATATTTGGATCGGTCTAGACCGGTTGCGGTTGCCAGTTGCGTCGTTTTGAGGTAAAAAACTGGACTTAACTGGACCTGCGAACACTAGGGGCGAAGGAAAGAAGTGAGAATCATTTGCATTTTGCCAGGACATCCAAGCACTCACACAGCACAGCCCAAAATTCTGTCACCTGGCACTCGGAACCTGGCTCAGAGAGGCGTAAATGTTCCTGTACATGCAAGACTCAGTGGGCCACCTACCATACTTAAAAGATGGACTGCGACGTCGAGCCGTATCATCCATCCAGATGTCAGTTTTCTCTGCATCTTCACAACTAGGATCCATTTTGCTAACTTCTCATTTCGTAGGATTTGCTTTGTCAATAATGTTCGTATATATCTTTGGTTTGATTTTTTTCATGTGTGATCACTCCTGACAGTGTATACGTGCACTTAGGTGCATTATTAATCCTCGGGAAAGCTGAGTGAGGTAGAGTCGATGGGGCAGACAATCGGAGAATAACGACGTCAAGGGGCAGCTGGAAGTTAAACGCAGGCCAGCGTGGAGTCGGGGACCAACTCAATCTCACTTAACGTCTGCGACTCTTTGCCTTCTTTGAAATTCAACGCCGTTGATGGACTAGGCGAGTAGACATCGGGAACTAGATCAATGCAGTGGCAGGAGTTCGAGCCACAAATGTGGTGGAGATTCACGCAATGGGCGTGGTGGAGATTCACGCAATGGGTGTGGTGGAAGCTTGCACCACCAGCAGGACGACCGCGACTCACACCAGACCAGACTACACAGCGCACCTTCATGTTGGTGGCGTCACAGTCGATCCCTAAATCACAAGGCCCCTCAAGCTCAAGTCAAACCAGAATGTGCTACCCCTTCATTGGCTGGGGCTGGCCTAGTTCAATTGTGACTGGTGGGTGCGATAAGGTCTTGAGGGTCTGGGATGGGTGAGTTTTTTTTTGGATTTTTTCTTGATTGACTGATGAGCTGGTTCCTCAGGTGGATGAAAGGGTCGGGGTTCGATCGAAAGAGGGGGTTAGGAGTAAATCTAAAACAACGGCCACAGACGAGGGTTAGTAGGGTTTGTTTGTTCATGTTCGCCCAAGTTCGGCCCTCCATGCTAAAATCCAAGAGGTCTCTCCAAATCGTTCTCGAGATACCTTGTTATTCAGGGTTGCTTTCATTCCTAAAATTTAGCTTTATTGTGTTTGTCCAGATTTTCAATTACTGGCTTTGTTGGATCCATCAAGGTTTTACCTAGTCCTGTTTTCTTCACGCCCCAAAAATCCCATCAGGAAATGTTTATGTAATCTTCGGACTTTGAAACCCTGGCGCGTCAACAACACATCAACAACTGTGTGCTCCCTCTTAGCTTTTTACGTGTTTGCAGCACCGCTGTCCTCCCTTCCTATCCAAATTCAAGTTTTTATTATTCGAAACATCAATTATTATGGAAAACAACGTCAGAAATATCCGAACTTACAAGAAAACACCCTGGTTGAGGTCCCGGAAGCTCCACATTATGTTGCACAGTTTCTGCTGCCTACCTCAATTTCCCTCCTTCTTTCACATCCGAGTGAGCTAGGGGAACTGTCATCTCCTGAGCTGTTTTTTCCTCTGCTCAGCTCTCCTTTCAATGAGCTTCGTTGTCCAAGTGGAACCTCGAGTCAACCATGACTGGTACAAGGTCCACAAGACGAAGCGCAAAACTCGCATCAAAATTTGATCGGATGGAGCAACTGCTCAAGGACTCTGGCTTTGACTCTGTCAGTGAATTGCTGAAGATCTTGTTTTACAACCTGAGCCATGTCTCTGGACAGCCTGATCCAAGAGGTGTATGTCACGCCAAGTCCGTTGCTCGGTTTCTACAAGGGCGGAACAAGGTCAGTCTCTTGTCTATAAGCACAAGCACAGTGCGCCAGCGCCGAGCTCACCACATGCTCCAGAACGTCATGCTCCATTCTCACCATCAGTCTCTCCTGCCAACATCTTTTACGTGCATCCTTCTTTATTCACTTGGGTGACGAATCTCATCACTAATCATGTTCATTGTGAGATCCATGAGCTTGTGGCTAAGGATGATGATGTTCATCTCCGAGCTTCGACAAATGGACGGCGTCCAATGGATAGTGTCAATCTCGTCACTTGGGAAGCTTTGGAGAGGTTTAGTATTGCAGACCTAGTGGAGAAATACAAAAGTCGCGCACCTGTTGCTTGGCATCTCATGAAATGTACGGCTGCCTCTCGCAAGAATGGCGCTGTGGTGGTGGTAAAGAAGCAACGGCCACATCCGATTGTATGTAATTTTATGGAGCCTACTAAATCTCGACCTCAATTACCTCCACGACGCCAATTGGCCTTGGATGGGTGGGCAGATTGGCGGGATATGACTCGGGGTGGACTCGGGGTGTTAATTGTACTCTGAAAGACTGAGACATAGAATACAAAAGGCTGCCAACTTCCCATCTCCAGTTGCAGTGCAGCAGAGAACATCCTGTCCATCAAGGATAGCTGAAACGAGGTTGAGCTGAATCGTATGCAGCCCGCTCAGCGTCCACAGTGGTATAGTCTTTTTGACAATGGTGTTGATGGTTTGTAGCCCTAGAGGGTCCTGCCAGCGGGGTTTGGTCATAATTTAGTGTTCACCAGGTGTTCGAAGTAATTCAGAAAGCCAAAAAATCAATGTTCAGGATGTATAATGGTCAAAATCGCGTCAGGGCGTGAAGGGAGCAGACCAATATCGACGCGACGAGGTCAGACCGCAATTTCAGAGTCCGAAGATTACATAAACATTTCCTGACGCGGTTTTTGGGGCGCGACAAACAACAGACTTCATATATCGTGAACCAAGGTACAACTTCACATATATCGAAGTCTGTCTAGGAGAGACTAGGTTTTACCTCGCTTCCACGGAATGGTGGGCAGTCACTTTCCCCATTCAACTGGTACTCCATCTGCCGCATCTTCTCCTCACGTCTGATCTGGCAGGTTGTGAGAACTTGAACTTGGACCTAACGTCAGTTTACTCCTCTTCTCCATTCACTCCCCGATGTCGTTGCCAGCCTCGTTGTGATTCCTGATTTACTGACAATCACTAGTCCGGCTTGTCAGGTAAAGACCGGATTCAAACGCGCGTAGGTGATGATCGTGGAGTATGCACAGTGTAGCAGAAACAATAAGTCATGTATTTCCAGGCGAGTCAAGACGTTTGCAGAAAACTCGACTTTATTGATAACTTTGCAGGGCACACTTGTGCGCGCGGTTGCTACGAACGATGAGCCAACATCCGGGAGCCACGCAGGGTATCCGAGTCGGCGCGTCGTCAAATGTGAAAGAAGTGCCATGTCATCAGGAAATACTTGCTCCGAGAACGGACTTGACCCACGCATCCACCCATGTTGACATATTCATTAATTTCCAGGAGCTAGCTTTGGGGCACGGATCTCAGCATTGTAAATTTCATGAACTCGCGTCCTTCGAAGATTTGGAAGCTTGGAAGGACATATCACCGAGGAGTCGCATCATGCGTGTCACATAGTAGATCGTCTTGACGCTGTCCAGGATTAGAGCTGACGTTGAGGGCGCATAATATTTAGCACAGGTTGTGCACAATTTGGCGCTCAACGTTCAATCGAAACGTCAAACTCAAGGAACCAGCATGATGAACTCTCTTTTCAACTTCAACAACTCCCAGAATCTAAACTTCCACAATCATCGGGGATAACTGAAATCGCTCCA